TGGCATAGTTTTCCAGCCAATCCTTGTCACCAGGCACATAACCGTGAATCTTGCGCTTGTGGAAGAAGAGGCTGGTGTTACTGAAGGTGCAGTAAGAGCAAAGGGCGCAGCGAAACTCCTTTTGCTTGGTGTGCTTGCAGTTCTCGTGGTTCAGCAATGCCTGCTTGTACTTGGTCTGGTAGGCACAGTACTGGCATTGGAAGATGGGCACTTGGTAATTCTGCGAGTGCTTTGCCTGCATGTGCTTCTGCAGCTCATACTTGCGCTTGCAAGCAAAGCCGCACACCTCACAGATGAGACTTTTGCCTTGGTGTCGCAGCTTGTGGCTGCTCAGCTGGTCAGCACGGTGGCATCGGTAAGAGCACTGGTTGCACTGGTACCTGTGGGGAAAACAGAACTGGTCAGGCAGTGTGGGGAACCAGAACAGGCCAAACCCTGTCAGACATACGGAGCTCCGCTTCCCCCTCTCAGATACCTGGGGAAGGGGTGCTCTTAGATTTGCTGGGTCTAACCTTTGGAATTTGGGCAGCTCAAACCACAAGCAATTCCTCTCTGTTGCATCCCATGCACTGCTGGTGCTTTATATCCCCAACCTGGCGATGGGAGATAGAGTCCCTGGGTACCCCAGAAAGTGACCCTGTCACTCCTGACACACACTTCACAGCAGAAGCACCTCCAGCATCCATGGAGGCAGACTAGACTCACAGGATACTAAGGTGATAGTGCAGAAGTAAAGACATTTTTTGACAGAGTCCTGCACAAGCTCAAACTGGCCTTGGCACAAAAACATAAGCAGAATGCAAGAACCCAGGTTTAGAGCTGCACTAATGTAATGATGACACTGAGGCACCTGAGATACCTTTGCCTCCACAACACGATGTTGACAACAACCTGCAAGCTCAAAGACTGCATTTATTGTGTGCCACACAGAATGGGCAGTAGTTGCAGCCCAGAGCAGCAGACTCCTATAGCAGAATCTGGGAAGCCCTAACAATGTTGCCAGGCCAACCAGCCTAGGAGTAGTACCGAAGATCACCGGTGTGCTTGCGCATGTGAACGTTCAAGTAGTGCTTCCACTTGGTGATATATCCACACTCAGTGCACATGAAGTTCTTGTCGTTGGAATGGGTTAGCATGTGCTTGGAAAGGTAGCTCACATCGCGGCATGTGAAGTCACACAGCTCACACTTGTGAGGCTTCTCTCCTACAGAGGAAAGAGAAATGTTCTCAGTACAATAATCAGATATGGCAGCTTTCCTTGAGGGTAACCAGCTCCGCAGGAGCTTGGGATAACAGCAGGGATGGGGACACACTGTGACTTCACCCAAGGATTGGTGGGTGGCAGAGCCATCGATGGGACTCGGGAATCCTGACCTAGCCCTCCCTGACCTCCAGGACCAGCACAAACCCATGTCCCAGCTCGGTTCCAAATGCCCCGCAGCAGGCACTCACCTGTGTGCAACAGCATGTGCCGGATGAGCACCCTCTTGTGCGCAGTAGCGAAGGCACACTCGGTGCACTTGTGGATCTTCTCATTGGCATGCATCTTGCCCACGTGGTCATGATACTCCACAGGATTGAAGGTGGCATAGGGACAGAAGCTACACTGGAGCTGCTCACTGCCTGGGTGCCCCTGCTTCTTATGCTTCCGGAAAACATGCTTGTTGGAGCAGATGAAGTCACATTGCTGGCAGTGGAAGGCATAGTGGGTTTTCCGGTGAGCCTCCATAGCCTCAGCAGTGCCGAAGAGCAGTGAGCAGGCATGATACTTGCACTCCACTGCCTTGATGCCATGAGCATCCTTGAGATGACGGACAAACTCCTTCCTGTCCTCCGCACAGTAGTCGCAGCCCCCTTGGAAGCAGCTCAGCCTCTTGGGCTCAGCTTTGTGAGTCTTCAAGTGCTCTTTGAGGGCCTGGCTGAGGCGAAATTTCTCCTTGCAGACGGGGCAAGAGTAGACATCGGAGTAGAAGTTGGAAATGTCCTCATGCATACTGGCCATGTGGCGGTTAAGGGCATTCTTCTCCACCGAGCTGTAGTGGCAGAGCGGGCAGCGGTGCGCCTTCTCACCTGTCTCCCGCATCATGTGGATCTTCAGCTTGCTTTTACTGGTGAAGTACTTGTGGCAGTTGGGGCACTGTAGGCTGGGGTCAGGGTAGTGCAGGTGGAGATGCTCCACCAGGTGTGTCCGCTTCTTGAAGCACCGCTTGCATTCGGGGCACATGTGGGTTTTGTAGATGTATTCTGAGCCCTCTGCAACATCTCCTGTGAGAGCAAAGGAATAGCCATCAGCAAGAAAAAGAAAGGACACAAGCACAGGCAGATGTTCCTTCCCTGACCCTACTGTGTTGGGGCAGTCTTCTCACATAGAGTCATGCAGCAGCCAGGTACCCGCAGGGACCATCCCCATCCTGAGCCACCAGAATGGTTTGGGTGGGCTCTTTCCAGCTCAACACTTACAAAAGTGATCCAGTGCAGCCTAAATCAGACTTGCTTGTACGTCCCCCAAAGCCAAGCAAACTCCTCAGGAGAGAAAGAATGCACCTAATGGGCAAATAGGCTGCTGGATGGCATAGGACCTCTTGGCCCCACTATGCTGTACTACTTGCTCATAAGCAATAGGCCCAAGCATCTCTGAGCACAGGCTCAAAATCATACCTTTGAAGTGCTGAGCCCAGGTCACCTTGGCTTTGTCAGCAGCCTCCTTCCTGTTCTCTTTGGCCTCGCCCTCACAGGGGTTCTCTCCATCCTCCTCCAGTGAATCATCCTCATCACTCTCTGAATCCTCTTCTCTGGCAGACACTTTCAGCTCCTCTAAGGAGCCTGAGGGATTTGCTGTCCCTGTTTCTTCTGAGGTAGCTTCCCAGTCAGGGTGGCAATTCTCTGCCTCCTTCTGCCCTACTGTGTCAAGGAGGAAAGACAAGAGACCGTGATGCTGCAGGGAGGAAGCAGCCACCACCCCTAACCCATACACATAAAAAAATCTCTGGCTCTCTAGGGCACCTTGCTACTGGACCACTTGGCTCTTCAGCCCTCCAGCAGCACAGCTTTGCCCTCATTCCCCACAGCTCTAACTCCAAACCCAGCCCCTGCAACACCCACAGGCTCCTGACCCAGCCTGGGTCTCTAACTCAGCTATACCTGATGGCAGAATGTGAAGCTGTTTGAGGGGAGCTGAGCCGGGAATGCTGCTCATCACAGATGTCTCCGCAACGTGGCTCTTCCTGTGCTGCCAGAAGAGCTTGGCACTAGCTGTGACAAAATCACAATGGTCACAGTGGAAGGGGAAGTGGGTGCGGTGGTGCTGCTCCATGGCTGGGCGGCTGGGGAACAGCAAGGGGCAGGCTCGGTAGGTGCAGGACACAGGGGAAGTCCCATGAAGGAGACGTAGGTGGCTGCGCAGCTGCTTGCGGTCCTCTGTGGCAAAGCAGCAGCCGTTCTCAGGGCAGGGCAGAGCTCCCTGCGGGCCACGGTGGGTCTTGAAGTGGTCCTTGAGCTCACCAGGCTGTGCAAACGCCTCCTGGCAGATGGGGCACAGCAGGCATTCAAGAGCCGAGCCCTCTGGCACGCTTGCTACTGGTGGTTCTGAGTCCCCTGGCTCATTCTGGCCCTTACTGGTGGGTGCTGGCAGCACTCCAGGTAGCCGCAAGTGCTCTGGTGGTGGCAGTAGCAGGCACTCATGCTGGGACAGCAAGGAAGCCTCCTGGAAGCTCTGGCCACACCTCTCGCAGAAATACAACTCCACCACTTTGACCAGCACCTCTGCACAGAGCAAGGATGATTGTGAGAAAGGGCTTTCACCAGGCCCAGAGCTTGGGACTGGTGGTTCAGTTCCAGCTCTGAACAAGAACAATAAAATTATGTTGCCATGAATTACAGCTTTGAAAACAACAGTTCCCCTCTGCCCTGGGAATCCCATGCCACACAGTCATACTGCAGGAGGAGCATCATCGTGCAGGTGACCACACTGAGTGGGTCCGTCCCTTAGCACCTCTGAGGCACAAGAAATATTGTTTGGCCTTCTCTCTAGAAGGATGCCCCAGGTGGGGAGCATACTGGGGGATGCAGCAGGATGGAGATCTCCACCTGCATCCTCTCAAAGGCTCAGAGCAACCCCACAGCCTTCTCCAAGACTCCCTGGGCCAGTCCTCCCCCACCTTGTGCCAGACCCGTAGTGAGCGGCAGCATCTGCTCATGATGCACACAGGCTCAGTGACCCAAGGGCACTGTGACATCCCCAGGGTGCTGACCAGAAGGAACAGGTCCAGCTGACCCCCCGTCCCACTGCTTGGCACCAAGTGTCCATGCCCCCCTCCCCACACCCAGTACCGGTGCCATTGGCCGTGTTGCTCAGAGTCACGTTGCCAGCCACAGCCTCGATGAAGATTTCTACGTTACTTCCTTCAGCCGCAGCCCCTTCCCCAGGCAATGACGCCTCTGCCAGCACCAACTCCTGGCTCGCGGGCAGTGGGGCAGCCCCAGCCGTGGCAGTAGGGCTTCCAACCGCCCCTGCTGCTCCCACTGCCCCCGGAGAGGGCAGGAGCAGCTCAGAACACAGGGCCTCCATCTCCTCGCCTGCAGCAGGGGGTGCAGCCTCTTCTGCGCTCATTGCCCCTTAGCCAGAGCTGGGGCACGGGGGTTCCCTGGCTCTGGAAGAGAAGAACGAGATCGAATTACGAGGGATTCCGGAGGGTGAACCAAGGGCCCCAGCACCACCTGCCCCCGTGCCCCGACACAGGAGCCTCATATAGGGCCTGCAGCCAGCCGGGACACCTCATCCGCAGCCCAGGAGCAACGCAGGGCTCAGGCCTAGCCCCGACCCCGTGCCCCCCAGTACGCTTCAGCTGCCCCCGGCCCCATCGTCCCCGCTCCCACCTGCAGGTCCGGCCCAGCGCATCTCGATGGTACCCGCAGCACAGAGCGTCACCCTCGGCGCTCCCTACGGCCTCCTCCTCTCCCCCGACCCCGTCCGGCGGGTGAGTGCCGGGAGTCGCCGGAAACGGAAGTGCGGGAGGAACCATAGAGAGCGGCGCGGAGCGGCGCGGCGCCGGGGAGAGTGGCGCGGAGGTGAGAGTGAACGGGTCGAGGGCCGTCCCGGGGTGGGGACAGGGCGGGGCCGGGCCGGGCCCTCTAGTACGGGTAGGCGTGGGGCTGTACGGGTGGGCAGTGCACTCGCCCTGTGTCCGGACGGGGCCCGGTGTGGGATGAGGGTCTCGCCTCGGTGCCCGACTGGCGGCCTTTATCCAATGGCAGAGGGTGAGCTTGGAGGTCTGCGACTGAGAGTCTTTGCCCAGAGGAGAGAGGAGGGGAAATGCACTGGTGGCCTTCAAACCCGCCAGCAGCTGAGCAAGGGGAGCCCTGGGGTTGGGGCCTCAGCCTCTCTGCTTTGTGGCACACAGAGTTATGCTCCCCTTGGGGACTCCGTGGCTCCCTGACATCAGGGCATGTTGATGCTGCTGCCTCGGGCCTGTGCCAGCTGCCAGCAGCAAAGAACGTGCTCTCAGCTCAGTCTGGGGACACACTTGAGTTTTTCCAAGCAGTAAATCCCCGATACTCCAGTGCATGGGAACTTACAATTATTTAAATAATAAAATGGTGTAAAATGTGAGACTTCTTGTGGCAGAAGATGCAACGGATACTTTGAGAAGAGACCACGGTAAAGGCCAGGCATCTGCAGGCTACTCATCTTGCCCTCTGCTGCTGCAGTACTTTGCTCCATCATTCAGTTCTTCTCCACTCTTCTCTGCCCACACAGGTTGGTTGATGGAGTGTGGAGATACTGTGGAAAGAAGCACATTAACCTCCCACAATGCCGTTTAGTGACTTTGTTGTGGCACTGAAGGACAACCCCTACTTTGGGGCTGGGTTTGGCCTCGTCGGGGTGGGCACAGCCATGGCACTGGCTCGGAAAGGAGCTCAGTTTGGGCTGGTGGCTTTCAGGCGCCACTATATGATCACCTTGGAGGTGCCCAGCAAGGATAAGAGCTACCAGTGGCTGCTGAACTGGATCTCACACCATGCCAAGCGCACGCAGCACCTGAGTGTTGAGACCTCATACCTGCAGCATGAGAGTGGGCGCGTCAGCACCAAGTTTGACTTTGTCCCCAGCCCTGGAAACCATTTCATCTGGTAAGGAAGATCAGAGGGAGAGGGAAAAGTAATCCGTGGGGTTGCCCTCATTTTGGCAAAGGAAGTCCAGTTTGGTGGACCCCTAGTGGCAGAGATTTCTACTCCTTCTTGTGTCTGAATTAGGAGAGGGGATTGGAAGTAGCTTAGGGAGTTTGCACCAATCTGAAATTGCTTTTTCACCTGAGGTGACCCCAGGCTATGCCCTCTGTCTGGGTGCAGACAAATGGGAATGGACCCCAAGATTTATCCCACCCTACTGTGCATAGCCAGTGTTGAACATGCTAGCTCTGAGTTCCTCTTGCTGAGCTCTACCATGCCTGCTTTGGGCACAGAGAACAGCACCATCCCTGGTTGATCTGGCTGAGAGGTGAAAGGCAGAGGCTGAAACTTGTGCTTGGTTATGTGCTGGTGTGAGCTGTGGCTTGTGGCTGAAGGTGGGTTTCATCCCTCAACCTTGTCCTCTTGTTCCAGGTATCAGAGGAAGTGGATTCGCATTGAGCGCAACCGGGAGAGGCAGATGATTGACCTGAACACAGGAACTGCCTGGGAGTCTGTCACCTTCACAGCACTGGGCACCAACCGGGAGATCTTCTTCAACATCCTCCAGGAAGGTCTGTAGGCAGCTGTGTGGGACTGTACTGGGAACAGCCCCTTCCTGGAGGCACATGGGGCCTCATAAGAGAGCCTTTTCCCTGCCAGCCATCCCCTCTGCCTCTTTCTGCAGCCCGGGAGTTGGCTTTACAACAGCAGGAGGGGAGAACAATCATGTACACAGCTGTCGGAACGGAGTGGCGGCAGTTTGGATTCCCACGCCGGCGGCGGCCTCTCAGCTCTGTGGTACTGGAGAAAGGTGTGTCAGAGAGGCTGGTTGAGGACGTGAAGGAGTTCATCGACAACCCGAAGTGGTACATCGAGAGAGGCAAGGCTCCAGTGTGGTGTCCTCTATGCTGTGCCCAATGCAGCACCTTACCCCTGTCCACAGATAGCCCAGCTGTGCCATGCAAAGTCCCTTGTATGTCTGAGCCCCTCAGCCTGGGCACAGAGCAGTGCTCTTACCCCAACTGTGACCATGCTGTACCCACTCATCTTCAGCTCTGCTCCTTTCTTAACAAAGAGTCCTTAATATAGCCAAGCACAGGGGAGAAAGGAAGGGACAAGCACAATCAGGGGCCAAGCAGAGGCTGCTGCTTATATCCATCCCTGCAGCTTCTCAGCACTCTGCTGCTGTGCCTGCTGCAGCCCTGCTTCATAGCAGTTTCCAGCCTTGTGTTCATCAGCCTAATCTCTTTGTGAGCTACCACCCAAATACACTCAGCTCTCTGGCATCCTGCCGTGTATAGGGGTTAGATAGACTACTGGGAGTAGGTTCTTCCTGCTCAGGTTCTGCAGTCTTGGGAACCACAGAACCATGGAGTTCACTGCTCCTGCAGTGCTGCTGTGGGGTGAATTTGAATGCCAGTCCTCTCTGTAGACGGCTGCAGAGAGTATTTTTACTGCTTCTTGCCTTTGTCTGGTACATCCTCTGTTCATGCTCGGCCAGCCCCCCTGGCTCCGAGGGAGAGGGCTCAAAAAGTAACACAGCTGATTCCTAAAAGGACACTGTCTTTCTAGGGATCCCATACAGAAGAGGCTACCTGCTATATGGTCCTCCTGGCTGTGGAAAGAGCAGCTTCATGTGAGTATTGCTAGCTGGGTGACAGCAATTTTCCTGCCAGCTGCCTGCTCTGATGTGCAGCAGTCCCTGATGAGAAGAAGTAGATGGGCTTGGGTTTGAAATGCAGCAATGAAGGAGTGGGTTGTGTCACTATTATAGGTCAGAGTGACAGTTCTGTGCGCAGGCTGGTCTGGCAGTAGGGCTCACATCTACTGTCGTTGCCTGATCCCCACTGGGGAGGTCCCCTACTGGACAGGGAGAGCCCGTTCTTCAGCTTCCCCTGCCTTTCTCTGCTCCAGACTTTCTTCCTGTGATTCACTGCTGTGATTTGTGTCCTTCCCAGTACAGCCCTGGCTGGGGAGCTGCAACACAGTATCTGCCTACTGAGCCTCAGCGACCGCAGCCTCTCTGATGACCGACTCAATTACCTCCTGAGTGTGGCACCACAGCAGAGTATCATCCTTCTGGAGGATGTGGATGCTGCCTTCATCAGTCGGGACCTTGCTGCTGAGAGTGAGTGGTGATCAGTTCCTGGGCCAGGCATTGGGATATTTGCTGGCTTGGTGCCGGCAGGCAGGAAGGGGGCAGCTCTCAGCAGTCTCATGATCCAAGCTGGAGTTCACCCTGTTTTGGCTTGGCCCTATGGAGGGAGCATTGGGTCCGCAATTCCAGAGGTATCTCAGGTAAAGACACTTGTTTGAAAATCTGGCTGTTTTCAGCATAAGATGGCCTTCCTCTTCATTCTCCCTTTGGGTTCACAGGGGTGCTGCCAGGCAGGGATGGTGAATGGGCTGCCAACCAAGAGGAGGCAGAGGGTCAGCCTAGGGGGATGGAGGGAGCAGAAAGCTTGGCTTATGCCTCAGGTTATAAGCAGGTAGCCCTTAAGACTGCCAGGTGAGTGGCAGATGGATATGACCTCAAACATCTCTATCCACAGACCCTGCTATGTACCAAGGCATGGGGCGCCTGACCTTCAGCGGCCTCCTCAACGCCCTGGATGGCGTGGCCTCCACAGAGGCCAGGATTGTATTCATGACCACCAACTATGTGGACAGGTCAGAGCTACACTCTGGGAAGAAGCAGGGAGGGGTGCATGGGAAAACCTTCCTTCTGTGGAGCCTTTTTGGCGACCTTTATGGAGGGCTATGTGCATCCTCAAGTGTGAGGACTGTAGATAAATTTTTGTTAGCCGCATAGCGGGTGTCCTGATCCTCCCTCAGGATGCAAACCCCTAATCAGAACAACCCCTTGCTGGGGCCTCTTCCTCGCTGCTCAAATTGTATTGTGCTGGATACTTCCTTCATGAGAGGTACCAGCCTCCTGCCTGCAGGAATCTGTGGGTTTTAGGGTTGTGGCTGTGCTGAGTGAGAAGCTGGTTCCATACAATCCATTCAGTCATTAGGCAGTGGCCTGGGCTCACGGCACATATCTGTGTTCAGGAAGCCAGATTATGTACCTTTCAGACACTGCTGTGGTGGGCTTTGCTTGCTCTAGATTGAGGTAGCCTAGATCACTGTTCAGACAGCATGGGACACAGATGAGCAGAACTGACAACTTGTCACCCTCAGGAGCCTACCATTCCCTTCTTTCTTTTGGGTTGATTTCCTACCTTGACTGTGGGAGTAAACCTCTTCCCTACCTTTACCACAGTGCACAGGGCTTTGCAGATAGGATGCTGGCTGTGCTAGCATGGAGGGGTGCTTCTGCTAGACCCCTCTTGCAAAGGCACTGTGGTCAGATAGTGAAGGCACACTTATGTTTTGACAGGCTGGACCCAGCCCTGGTGCGGCCTGGACGTGTGGACCTCAAGCAGTATGTGGGCCACTGCTCCCGAGGACAGCTGGCCCGCATGTTCCAGCGCTTCTATCCTGAGCAGCCCCCAGCTGCAGCTGAGCAGTTTGCTGAGCAGGCACTGGCAGTCTCCAAACAGATCAGCGCTGCCCAGGTACAGGGCCACTTCATGCTCTACAAGACAGATCCTGGGGGAGCCATTGAAAACATACACTCCATCCTGCCGTGACCTAAGGTGAGCTCTGCCCTGCCATGCTGTGAGGCCTGGAGATAACTGGGACAAGGACTTGGACCATCCTGGGGATGCTGTGGAGCTGCCCTGCCACATGGGCCAGGTCTCTCCCTCTACCTCACCAAGGCCTTGTCTTTTTGTTAAAATATATGGAGTCAGAGCTTCCAGCTCTGCAACAGAGTGAGGGGATCGGCTCTTACTGCTGCCTAGGTTGCCTAGGCTTGGGTGCTACTATACAGACCCTGTTCACTGCCCTTGTGCTGGGATTGTGAGAAGCTGCTGAGGCTTCCAGATGTGAAACCATAACTTATCAATCTCTTCCTTGGGCTGATACTCCAAAAGAGAATTTTGCAGGGGCAGGACATTGGGGTGATACACTGCTAAAGAGAGCTGATGGTCTTTGAAAAGAGAGTGGTCTTCATTGATCTGTGAACAGCCTTGTAAGGTAAAGTGCACAACATGGCTCTTTGCCCTCCAGTCCCATTGCTTTTGTATGCATGCTGACAAGTGTTGGTTTTGTTCTTCTACCTTTTATTTGTCCCACCACCCACCTGCTAGAGCCCTTCTGACCTCGATAGATGGGAGCAGCATTGCTCCAGACACTTCTCAGGGTTGCTGAGGCCTGGATCCCTGTTCTGGAGGGATCCTGGCTTGTCTCCAAGGTGCAGTTCCTGGTATGTTGAGAAGTGCTAGAAGGAGAGACTGAGCTGAAGGATCAGTCTGGTCTCTGGCACCTCAGGTCCTGCTGGGATTATCTGATTCTCTGGGAGATAATTCAGTAACCGCTTTGAGAAGGGAATATGCTTACCCTGCACTGCTGGTTTATTTCTTCTCTTTCTGTTTGTGGCAGGGCTGCTGTAGGCTTACTTTTTAAAGCTGATCAAAATCTGTGCCCCTGAAAAGGGAGCAGGGGAGGGAGTGGTGTGGTCAGTAGTGCAGCCAGGCCAGGCTGGTGTGAAGAGCAGAAATCCTTTGCTAACAGCCCTGAAAATGCAGTTCGGAGGAGAGGCCTGATCCAGCTAGATTCTGTGCTCCATCACCAGCACCACCAACCCAAGTCTCCCCCTCCACTACCACCACAAGAGCACAGGAAGCAACTTGTGTCACTTTACTTGCTTTTAATAGTGTTAATGTTACAGCCACCATCAGTGCCTTTCTGCCCAGCCTGAGCACCATTGCCAGTGTAGCCTCACAACAGCCCTGTGAGGTAGGTCAGTAACAGCACAGCCCCACCTTGGGAGTAGGGATGTAAGCAAATGCCAAGTGAGAAGCCTCAGGGCATGGTGCAGGCTCCATTTTTCCCTCACTCTAAATCTTGGACAAACTTTTAGAAAAAGGAACTGAACATCTGCTGCTTTGAAGTTTCTCAGACATAGAGCAGGGAGGGCATATCACAGCCTTGCTCTTCCCCAGAACACCCCACCATCCTCTTCAAGTCAGAGTTAAGTGCTGTCTTGACAGCCTGTACCTGCTGTTGCCAAGACTTTTCTGAATTTATGTTTGGCCCAAATTCATTTCCACACACTAGTGCAGAATTTCCTCTGCTCCAGGCTAACAGCAAGTGAGTCAGAAAGTTGAGCGCCCACCCTTAAGCCCTTCTCTGGCAAAAACAAACAAACAAACAAAAAAAAACCCTTCCTTTCTAACAAGCAGTTACTGAAGACCTTGCTCACTTTAATTTCTGTGGCTGAATTCGTATGCTCCAACCGTGACACAGTAGCTTTCCCAACAAGAAGAAAGAAAAATTTGACTTGCTGCAGGATGCCAAGGAGCTTGGCAATTGGAACATTGTGAGTTTTGATCTGTTAAAAGCACAGTGAGCAAAAGGAAGATGATAATTATCTGTGTGAGAAGAGGGGTGTGTTATGGGGTCACAAGGCACAAGCAAGTGTGAAGAAATGAGTATGGTCTAGGTGAGCCAGACATCTCACACTGACAAAGCAGGGAGCTAGCATCCTGCTATCCAGGAGACTTCCCCTGCATGTACGGAATAGGAGGGAAGGGATCAACACTTTGCTCCAAACAGCTAAGAATAGGAGTGGGAGGGCAAAGAAAACAAAAGGAACAGGCTCCAGAGAAGACCCAACAGATTAATTTAATAGCAGTGTCCCACTTCAGAAATTTGGGATTCCTGTCATGTCTCTGCAACAGGACGTGGTTTGAATCTGAAACAGCAGCAGAAGGAACTGCAAAAAAGCAGCTGAAGGACAGGGCAGAAGCTCCAGCTAAACTCAAGCTTCCATGGGGAGCAGGAGCCAGCACCAGGCCTCAGTCACTGGATAGTCCTGACTTGCTAAAGCATTGGCTTAAACTTAACTTAGCTCAGGCTAGGGCTGGGAAGAGTCATGTTATACAAAGGACTTGCCTGGCCAAGCCTATGAGTTGAGCAGCAGTCTGCACCACAGAAGAAACAAAGTCATCTCTAAGGAGCAGGGACAGCAGCTGAGAAGGTACTCAAAGAACCACCAAAGGATGAAACAAGATGAGCTGTAGGTTGCTGCCCTGGCACAGCCTCATTGCCTGGTGCCACCGTGGCTCTGCAGGGATGCTCAGTTCCAGAGAAGGTCCTGCAGAGCTTTGGCTGCTGTATCACCATGTCAAGCTAATTCCACTTGTTTCTGTAGGTATGTATGTTTCTTGGCTCACAAAAACAAACAATGGATGCATGCTGGTCCCTGGTCAAGCCCTCCTCTGCCCCCTGCATCCTTCAGGACCAAGGCTGCCGTGACCTGACAGAAGTCAGCTTCTCCAGTGGTGGTGACAGCCAGTTGCTCACACCAGACAGCCTGATGTTTCACTCTACATGAACCGTGGAGAGTTCACCTGTCCCAAGCTGTGCCAACTGCTCCTCTCTCCTAAGTTGCATGGTGACTCCTTGCTATTTCTCTACCACAGTCTTTGCCATTCTTGTTATTAACAGCCTCTCCCAGCCCAGCCCCTTACCCCTCCTGCTAGGAACTGCTCTCCTTCTCCACAAAATGGGCTTCTCGATGTCCACTGGGCCTGAACACCCCTCGCCCTCTTGGTGCTCTGTGGTAGGAGCCACGACCCTGCACTCTGGACCTTTCCCACCTCCCGCAATCCCAGGGCCTATGGTGGCCTTGCCAGCCAGGAGCTGCTCTGTGCTCGCTGCGGTTGAACACCAGGTTCTCCTTCTCCCTGCTTTGGGCTTCAGCACCTTGCTCCGGGGTCCATCTTTCCATGTTATGGTGTTCCTCTTTCAAGTCCACTGCGCCCACTACTGGTGAAGGATCTTCAGGGAACAGCTCCTTTCTTTCAACCAACGCAGCTGCCTTGCTTCTGCTGTGAGGCTTTGGAAATTCCTGACAGTGCCTCCCACCAGGTCTTCTCTCTGGTCTCTGACCAAAGCCTCTGGGCACCCTGGAGCCATGGGACAGATGACAGGCTTCCCCTGCCGCTTCCTGAGAGCTGCTGCAGGACTGCCTGCCCTGGCCTCTTGGGCCTGGCCTCTCCCCTCTGTGCCTCTCCCTCTTGCTCTGGGGTTCCTTGGGCACAGTAAGCCTCTCTGGCTGCCCAGGCTCTGCCCTGCTCTCTGGAGCCCTGGCTGGCTCCAGAGCTGAGGCCTGGCAGGGTGCCTGAGGTGCATCCACATCACTAGCACTCACCAGCAGCTCAGAGGAAGCAGCTGCCTGGCCTGGATCAACAGTAGCTGGAGGCTGAAAGAAAGAAGCCAATGGTTAAGAAAGGGACAGGACAGTCCCAAAGCGGATGACAGTGTTTGGCCCTCAAGTCCAGGGACCTCCTTGCTGGTGTAGAGCTCAGCAGCTCTCTGCCCCCAGTGCCATACCGCCTGGAGGCTGATGAAGTAACGGTTCTTCTCTGCTTCGGGGTCAATGATGCCCCCTTTCTCTTGCTGTTTCTTGAAAATTAAGCGCAGTTCTTCTTGGTGCTGCAGCATCTTGGCATCTGGCCTGTATGGCTCCTGAGTGGCAGACAGCAAGAGGGGTTAAGGGCTCTATCTATATGGGCAGTCAGTTAGCAACGTCATGAGCAACTCCCCAAACCCTCATTTCATCACACAGCACCCAAGCAAACTGTCTGTTTGCAACATTTGACCCACTGAGCCTACAGATTCACGTGTAATTCCCTGTCTCTGTATAGGTACGTCACTGCAGACCCACTATTCCCTACATTGCCTGCCTGAGCAAGATGCAGAGCAATTAAAAATCAAGAACCCCAGAACTCACCACATAAGCTGGAGTCACTCACCTGAAACTGGTAACATCTCAGTGGGTACAGAGACATATTTAAGGAAAGCTATAGTTATTTTCTTAGAGCAGACAGAACATAGACGTTCCATTCAGGCACTCTACCTGATGGCAGAAGTCTCTCTCTCCCTACCACATCTGCTTGCTCTGGAAAGCAAGCCAACAACACTACATGTCCTCACTGCCTCCCAATGCAACAGCTACATATCTTTTGCTTTCCTCTGCCTATCATGTTTGAAGGTGGGTGCCTTTTTTATGGCAGAAGGGCTCCAATGGTCCCCTCTGAATAGAGCACAAGATGGAATTTGGACATTTGTGTGTTTTCCTAGAGTACTGGGCAGAGGATGTTAATCAGCTCCAGCTGGCACTACTTGTTCATGTGTTAAAATGTCCCATTTGAAGCTACCCAGAGAGGGGGCACAGCAAGGCAGATGAATCCCCATCTCTTACCAGTGGGTGCTGTGGTGGTGGTGCTGCCTTCAGGGCACAGAGGTCATAAACCAAGGTTTCCCGGCAGACAGGGCACTGCACACCGACGTTCTGCAGGGAGGTGAGAGGTGAAACCCTAGGCAGCAACCCAGCCCACGCACATCCAGAGAATCCCCAGGCTGGAAGTGAAACAAACAGGGCAGCCTTCAACTAATCACAAGCACTTTTTTGCTAAGGCAGGGAAGTCCAGGGAGATTCCAGTTTGTAATTATGGTTGGAAAGGGCTCCTGGAACTCACTTGGTCCAATCTTCACTGAGTCTCTCAGCACAGGCACAATGCTAACCATGCTGCACATGGCTGCTGAGTCAGGATGGCCTTTGTTCCACATCCCACAGGGAGTGACAGAGAACTCGTGAGGGCCTGTGCAGGGGATCAAAGCCCAATACCTGTTTGGGGGAAGGTGCCAGGTGCTGTTCTCTCTCCTCCTGTTGCATGAGAATCTCCTCCTCCATGTGCTGGGCATAGCGGGCCAGGCAGTGGGAGTGGAAGTAGTGGTAGCACTGGGTCTTTGTGAAGGCTTCCCTTTCCTGTGGATGAGAAAGGCATTTAAAGGGTGCTCCCAGCACCTAGCTGAGGTGGGTTTTCACTCCCATGTCAGCAGGAATGTTATTGATGGCAGAAACACATAGCTTCTTCCACTGGGCTTCATCTGACTCACTTCTCAGCCAGCTTGAATGGCTTGAATACACATTCCTACCTGGAATCCATAGAGGCAGATCACACACTGGCCATGAGGAATATTGTTGTCAGTGAGAATCTCCTTCCCCTTCTGTCAAAGCAGAAAAGCAAGCATTTTTCTCACTGGCCTCCACATAGGGCCAGACTCAGGGCTCTCCCACCTCAAAGGGAGTCAAAGAACGATGTGTGTATCTGCCTGCCTCCCTTCTCCCCAGCTCTCACCTCAATCAGCTCATACAGCACCTCTGTCCCCAGCCTGGCTTCAGCAACATTTCTGAGGGTCTGCAAAATCCTGCAGCAAAGCAGCACAAATACTTAACACAAACTTTGCCACACCTTTTCACTCTTCCACATGCCTGCCACCCCACCATAATAACAAGAGAAATAAAAAGAACATCATCCACCAGGGTTTGCCTACAGTGTGGGATGGGCACAAATGCAAGCGCATATTCCCATGCTGTCCCCAACTCCTTGTGAACAAGTGTGCAGGAAATGGTTGTCCTCAGAGGAATTGCGAGAGTGAGTTTGCAAACTGCTTCAATTTGAGCTCACCCAGTACTGTTCAGCTTTAGCAAATCTAAGGCTTTGTTGATCCAGTGGGAGCAACTTTAATGCTGTGCTGCTGACTGGTATCTGGATCTCTGCTGCACCAAGGACAGGAGCACACAGGCAGCAGCAGGCTGCCTGAACACTGCAACTCAGTTCAGTCTTGTCTCTGTCAGAGCTGGACCAACATCTCTGAAGGCCTGGGAGACTTCAGTTACGTTTCAGGTGGACCACAAGGGAACAAACCATTCCTCAGTGTCAAACTCAGCATCAGGGCTGACATAAGATTTAACTCAAGGTGACTTGAGAGCTGTATGTATGCATTAAGAGAACAGAGGACCATACAGGCATTCAGAGAAGGCTCTAAGCGCTGTTAACACCACCACTCCCCTCTCACAGAATCATAGAATTGTCAGGGTTGGAAGGGATCTCAAGGATCATGAATCTCCAACCCCCCTGCCACATGCAGGGCCACCAACCTTCCCACCTAATGCTAGACCAGGTTGCACAGGGCCCCGTCTAATCTGGCCTTGAACACCTCCAGGGACGGGGCACTCACTTTTGGATTTGCTCATCTGACAGCCCCCGCGGGTTGCTGATGGAGATGTCTGGAGCCTCGTTGGGATACTAGAAAACAAAACAAACCAACAAAACCCAAAACGCACCGAGGGAAGCAGAGATAGGGGGCCGCAAGGCCCAGCTGGGATGGGAGCCTACCTGGGGGGGCACGGCGAGCACCAGCGTGCAGCGCACGAACTGCGAGTCCTGGTCCTGGGCCGTGGCGGGGTGCAGGGTGATGCTCACCTCCCAGGGCTCGGACCTGCGGGCGGGCAGAGGTAAGGCGCGGCCGAGGAGCGGGGCCCGGGGGCCGCAGGGCCCGGCACGTACCTCGCGCGGCCCCGCACCACCCGCAGTTCCTCCAGGTAGATGGACTCCAGCACCTCCACCTCGGCCGGCAGCGCCCTGCGAAGCACGAGCGGTCAGGCGGCCCCAGACGCCGGCCCCGGAGAAGGGCGGGGCGGGGACGGGCTGCCATTACCAGTCCGCCGCCTCCACCTCCTCGCCGGCCGCCGCCATCTTGCCTCCCGGCCCGGAAGCGGAAGCGCGGCGGCCTCGGCTGTCGCTAGGCGACGCGGCGGCGCGGCCTAACGCGGCGGGCTCGAGCTCGGGCCGGGTTTTACTGCGGCCCCGCGGCCTTAAGTCGTCGGTCCGTCGTCCGGGGAGCCTCGGCCCGACCTCGGAGCCCCGCCATGGAGAGGTACCACGTGCTGGAGGTGATCGGAGAAGGCTCCTTCGGACGAGTGTACAAAGGGCGGCGGAGGTGCAGCGCCCAGGTGAGGAGTGAGGCGGGTACTGGGAGGGACGTCTGTAAAGAGCCTGGCTCCGTCTTCTTAGAAGCCTCCTACTGCCGGCCGTAGGGTTGTTGTTCAGCTTATCTCCAGGTTGATGAAGCTCGTATCCCCCAGTTTCAGCTCGTATGCCACGTGCATCAGCCACCTTGCCATCCTAGTGATCCTCAGCTAGGACCGTTCCTGTTTGTCAACGTGCTTCTGGGCCAAAAACTGGCCGCTGTAGCCTAACAAGCCCCAAGTAAAGGGCGAGAATCGCTTCCTTCAGGCAACTGCCTGCAGTCCTGTTAATACAGCTCAGGGGCTGCTTGTACTCCTTGCTGCCCTAGCTTCAAGGGGCCCTATGAACATGTCTCAGTCTGTGTGTTCACCTAGGAAATACTTGGGTTAAATACAGTTCCTGCCAGGGTGGGTGGGACCCTGCTCTGATCCCAGCTTTGCCTGCTTTGGAAGGTGGTGGCTCTGAAATTCATCCCCAAGGTGGGGCGATCTGAAAAGGAGCTGAAGAACCTGCAGCGGGAAATTGAGATTATGAGAGGCCTCCATCACCCTAATATCATCCAAATGCTCGACAGCTTTGAGACTGACAAAGAGGTAAAGGGGCCTGCATGGGGCAGGTACTTTGGCTTGGTTGGGCAGGGGGTATGGGCTGGTATGGTATCACCTGCTGTCATCTCTGTCTCAGGAGATGCTGATTACAGCCTTCCAGGGCTCTAGCAGCATTTATAGCCAGCCAGGTTTGTTCAGTACTCAGCTGTATCTCCACTCTTGTTGAGTGCTGCAGATCTGCCTCCAGCCTATTCTTCTCCCTCACGTGGCCTAATTGGAGTTTCCTGCTCTCTGGATATGGAGAGACCTTATGAGGGAATTGTCTTAGGACTGGAACTCAGCCTGCTGGTTGGTCAAGTGTTAACCAGTGGCCTCCAGTAATTGGGCAGTAGATCAAAAATATGCTCAAGGGAGTATTTCTACCACAGGGCTCTGAAATACCATAATATGCTTGTCCTGTTCCTTTACACTTCCCTGACTACTGTGTCTTCCAGATAAGTAAAGCTACAGAGGTTCGGTAGGGATGCGTCTGGGGGTGTGCTTAATGCCTCCACACTGCTCCTTCCTCCAGGTGGTGGTGGTGACTGACTATGCAGAGGGGGAGCTATTCCAGATCCTGGAGGATGATGGGAGTTTGCCCGAGGACCAGGTGACTGGCTACACAGGCTTTGCTACAGGATGGAGGGAACAGGATTTTTTAGCAGGCGGGGGGTCTGTTGTGGGCCTGGAGATATCAAGGGGATGAAGGTGTCTCTGAGGCTTTGGCTGGCAGAGTTTCTGAAGGGGATGAAAAGGCAGCCAGATTGCAGGCAGTGGGTCACAGTGATTCCCCCTGGGGATCTCCCTGTTCCTTCTACAAGAGCCACAACATATGGCTACTGCCTCGGCCTTTGGTTCACTCCTCTGTCAGAGAGGAGCTGATGGCCCAAGGGTGGGGCAGGACCCTGCCCCAAACAGGGCAAAGGCAAGAGTTGGGGTACTGGAATGAAGCTCTCGTGTTTCTGGCAGGTCCAGACCATCGCTGCCCAGCTGGTCTCTGCTCTCTATTACCTGCACTCCCACCGCATCTTGCACCGTGACATGAAACCCCAGAACATCCTCCTGGGCAAAGACGGCGTCATCAAGCTCTGTGACTTTGGGTGTGTGAGGGTGACCTGCTAAGGAGGATGTGTAGGCTTGGGGCATCCAAGGAATGACCTGGAGCTGTAGAGTAGAAGGGGAAGTGTGGAAGGGGATTTGCATTCTGCACATATTCAGGGATTAGCAGGGGTGGGGAATTTGAGACTCCAGAGGGGACAGGATATTGATGACTTGTGGGGTCTCCTTAGGAGCTGCTCCTGAATGAAATGGCCACCTGTGTTTTGCTCTGAGCAGGTTTGCACGTGCTATGAGCATCCACACCATGGTGCTGACTTCCATCAAGGGCACTCCGTTATACATGTCCCCGGAGTTGGTGGAGGAGCGGCCGTATGACCACACAGCAGACCTGTGGTCTGTGGGCTGCATTCTGTATGAGCTGTTCATGGGCACACCTCCCTTCTATACCAGCAGCATCTTCCAGCTTGTCAGCCTCATTGTCAAGGACCCTGTCAAATGGCCTAAGGCCATAAGCCCAGCCTTCAAGGTAAGGAACAAAGCCCTGTCTGTGGTGTAGGACCCATTGTTGCAATAGCAGTTTTGGCTTTGTGTGCTGCTCTGATTGGCTATGCTTAGGTTTTCTCTCCCCCAACATGGATTTCAGAACACAGTGAAGGGATGAGGTCTCGGCCTCCTTGGGGGGAAGCCCTTATCACTGCTATCCCTAGATAAATTGGGAAGCTGAGGCAGAGAAGAGAGGAATGATTTACTGCGCTAAGAAGGGAAGTGTCTTCTCACTGCCTGTCTGCCATTAACACCAGACATGCTGTTTCTCAGGGCGAGACAAAAAACCCAGGCTTCCTGAGTGTTCTTTCTGAGGGAGACTGGTGGGAGCGCTGTATTCATTTTTGCATGTGTGGTGTCTGACGTTGGCACTATGCTGCCTTATAGAGCTTCCTGCAGGGGCTGCTAATGAAGGATCCCCGCCAGCGCCTGTCATGGCCAGAACTGCTCTCCCACCCCTTTGTTGCTGGACGGGTTACTGGTGAGTACCAAATCATTTCCCCTTCTTACTGCCTGGAGTCTGGGAGCACCACCCTATCATTCTTTTTTTTTCTACCCTGGTTTTTGCCTCCTTCCTCTCAGCTTCCACCAACCCCTAGCTCCTGTCCCTGGGGTTGCTCTGGGTCCCCCAGGATTCTCCTGGGATTGCAGAGCTGGTTGCTCTCCCTGCATCTCAAGAAAGAGCTGCTGAAATTCTGCTCCTGCCTTCTCAGTGATTGATGACTCAGAAGAGCATGGGATCTCAAACCCCTTCACCACCAAGCTGTCACCAGAGCTACAGGCCCTGAAGGAGCAGCAAGCCCATTCCCTGGCCCCTAGGAGTGGCCAGTCCAGGATCCTGAGAAAGGCTCGGCAGAAGATGGCTGAGGAGGCACAGAAAAAGGTGGAGAAAAGTGTGGGATTCTCTGGACTGCACCCCATGGTTATGTCAAAGGAGGGGCTCTTAAATGGGACCGAGGGGAAAGACAGAAGGAAGGTGGGCCAGGCTGGTGTAATGGCCACATACAAGGCAGGATTTGGGGATCATTGCTGTGGTGGGGCTCTTCTCACTGAGTCTCCCTGACCAAACTTCTCTGCCATCTCCCAGGGGCAACTGAAGGCAAACATTACATCTATGAAGGACTCTGGCAAAGGACACACCAGACGTAAACCCAGAGCAGCTTTTGAAAAGGCAGCCCTTGAGGAGGAGGAGCTACTAGCATCCTTCAAAGAGAAGAACTCAGGTGTCCTGCAAGGAAAGAACAGCATGGCAGACTGGCAACTGGAGGAGCCTCCTCCAAGCCCACGGTGAGGGAAGGCTGGGACTGGGAAAAAGAGAGGAAAGTGGGGTAGCTCATTGACTGGGCTGTTTCCTTGCCTAGGGAGCACAGCATCACACAAGATTATGAGCGGGAGTTTCCCCAGCCAGAAGCACCTCTGCAGCTTGGTGTTGGCAGAGCAGAGCTCCAAGGCAGAAAAAGCATCGAGGCTGTGGACCTGAAGAGCGAGGTTAGATGATGTCCTGCGATAAGGACATCAGGGCCCAGTTCCTAGGGCTTGGTACTTAGACTCTGGGATAGGCAGAATCTGTGGCACCAACTCTCTCTTCCATGGTCAGGAGCTGGAGAGTGATGAGGAGTGGCAACATCTGATCGAGGCCACAGAGCCCTTGGCCATGCAGCTGAGCACGCCTCTGAGCCTCTTGAGGGACCCAGCCTTCCGGCACCGTGTCCAAGCCCGGCTTGAAGAATCTGCTCAGCAAGTGAGTGATGGCTGGTCCAGCTGACTGAGACTGGGGACATGGATGCTGCCTTCTTTCCTGGGATTGGGTTGGGAGCATTGGGAGATCCCCTGCTTCAGCTAGCAAGGAGTTCTGCTGCTTCCCCAGGCATCAGAGCTGCCTCACACACTTAGCTTGTCATCTCCTCCACTATTGTCCCTTGCTTCTCCACTGTCCTTGGGGGGCAGCCATGTGACTGATGGAGAGGCCATAAGTGCTGCTGATCATGAGTCCTTCTGGCTTCTTGCTGCCAGGTGCTGGAAGGGATGCTTGAGGGAGCGTCCCATCTCCGTCCCATACTTCGTGTAGTGGGAAATCTTCTGGCTACCCGCTGTGACTCTGAGCTGCTGAACCTCTTTTGCCGAGAGCTGAATGTGCCACTGTCCCTGCTGCATCTGGCCAAGCAGATGCTGGAAAGTGGCAGTACAAAGCAGGTGGGTGTAGAACCCCAGGCAGATTGTGGCTCCCTCAGTCCTGCAGTGTGCCTGTGCTATCACAGGTCTCTATGTCCTGCCGGAGCTGGTTCACAGGACCAGTGTCTCTTCCTGTTTAGAAGGGGGAAGATCTTGGCAAGGAAGGATCCTGCTGCAGTGGTGTCAGGCTGGCAGGCAGTTGCCACTTCATGTTTCTTTCTGCTTCCTGCAGCAGCCCTGGTGTATCACAGTGCTGACAGACCTCATCATGGTGACCACAATTTACTTCAGCAGTGAATGCAGCCTGGAGGAGAGTGGGCAGGACAGGTAAGGGCAGGGCAAGTGGGGCAACATGGTACACTCTGAGGTCTTTTGTGGCCACAGTAGAGAAGTAGGAAGGAAGGAGAAACTGTCATGTGGGGAAAGGCACAGCTGGTGAGTTCAGTTGTGCTA